TCATTTTTGCACCATAAGAACAGTTTCAAATGCTCTTTAAAATGGCTATTTACTTGTTAAAAATACTTGAGTGGTTGCAGAGATATATCGATTACAAAAGTTCTGTGAACTTTTTTTTCCATACCTTATATTCTGATAGCGTTTGAAATTTTCTACTAGCCTCTACAATCTCAGCCTGGATTCGAAATTATTTGCTGGCAAAAATTTTGAATACGGTTAATGTACCCGCATATCACATTCCCAGCAATTGCATTCCATGCTTCTTCAACTAACTCTTCTAAGCGTTGTTGAGAATTTGGATGATATCTCTGTACATAACGATTCATTCAAGCCCGTACATTATCAATAGCATTGAGATCAGTACTAACAGCTGGCTAATTATCCATGTTGTATGATTACTAGATAACCAGTCATGTGCTGCTGCTGTATGTGCCTATTTGGGGTGATCGTGTATGAAGTAATATCCTCTAAGTAAACGTACATGTGAATTCAACGCAGCTTGTAGATAGTGAACATATGTAACAGTATTAGTTCGACTGCGAACAAATACTAAGTGTCATCGATTATTGTACCACACTGCACCGAAAATTGTAATATAAAATTGAACCTGGCTTTGAAAATGTGTTGGCCCTAGACAACTATCCAGTAAACTATCCCAGAGACGTCAACTTCAAATGCCTTTTCGTCGCTAAAGATAACATTACCAATATATGCACAAGCCTTAGAAGACTTAGTTAAAAGGAGCATAAAATGCAATTGCTGGGAATGTGATAGGTGGAGTATATTAACAATATTCAAAATTTTTGGCAGCAAGTAATTTCGAATGCAGACTGAGATTGTAGAGGCTAGTAGAAAATTTCAAGCGCTATCAGAATATATAATTACTTTTCTAAAATGTATTTGTGTATTCATAATAAATTAAAAAGTACGACTGCAACTAGTTTTTTTCAAGAGGATATAGAAATTCGTATACAAAGGAATTTAACCCCTACTTTTCTTTTTTGATTATTTCCAGAACATTGATTTAGATTGTAACTCTTTCCCTTCTTATTTGAAACTGGGAATAAAGAGATTAACGTACATCAGCATGAACTCTATATTCTACTTAGTAAGACAGATCTAACGATTAATACATATCACAATGGTTAACGTCTGTTTCTTACTTTAATAACCTGCTTTGGAACCACATCATCCCGATTGCACTTCATTAAATCATCATTTATCAAATATCAGAAATACTACTCATCACTACGTGATTTCTGTCTTATTTCTTTAGTGTCTATTACTTTATTTACATTCATTTGTTAGAAAACAAAATGATGAGAGAATGATCTCTCAAAAGGGGATTATTTTTAATAACGAACAGTATTAAGTAGAAGTTAGAAAGAGAATAACTTCGATTTATTTACAAAAATAGTATTAGCGTCTGATTTGATTTAATGGTTTAATCATACAGTGTACGTACCATTTGTACCAATATAATCTATTCGCTCATACTGAATAGTTTTTACCGTATGTGTATTTTCAATCAGGCGATCAAGTAAATCGTGTAGTGCTGACTGCTACTAATAGTAATAGAAAAATACAAGAGTTAATTTGACAAAAACGGCCGTTAACAAAATTGATAATTCAGCTATGATTTTGTTATTTATAATAGTTACAACGAGGATAAAAAAGAAAAAGAAGAATAACAAAAGAGACTGACCAACAGTAGAAAATAATCCTCACCATAAAATAAAACTAATTCACGTGATCCATGGTCATTGAACAAAAGAAAAAAGGAAATACTTCACATAGAATGATATAGATATTATAAAAGAAAATAAGTTATTTATAATAACGAATAAAGTGAAAAAGTTCTTCGAATGTACATATTTTTACGAGAAACAAGTAAATAAACAGATGAATAAGTGTGGCAATAGAAAAGTGAATGTTCAAAAATGTGTAGGAAAAAAATATATGCTACAATGTAGATTTTCATTTATTAATTGTTCAAAGAAAACTCTACTAATAAATTTGACTAGGAATAATTTTGATGCTAAGAATTGATTTTGTATTTTGATAGTTTAAGTTTTAGAATGATATAATGAAAATTTATATTCTCGATATCGTTGTAGTTCAAGATTAAAGTTTAAACTAACAATTTTGATATTTCTCGTATATTCATCAAACAAGTGACTAAATATACAAAATACAACATTTTTTTATATGTAGATCAAATGCTCTACATGTTTTTGAGAAACATTAGATAACATTTTTGTACTCGTATAAGTAAATAAATGTCATTGATATTGAGGTCTATATCTTATATAATCTAGTAATCTATATGGTAGATATAACTGTTCAGTTATAGAATTCATATCTTTCTCTTTATTGACAATTGTATTTATATGATGTACGATAACTCGTCGACAGATTGATTTTAAATTCATTTCATTTGGTAATACAAAAATTTGAACGAGAGTTGTTGATGATATTTGTGGAGAAGTTTGCATTAATTGTTCAGAATGACGAGTTGATGTTATTGTTTTTGTTGTACATAATGCTATTCGTGATGAACATGAGGAAAATATGGGTGTTAATAAATTATGACACATATGACGTGGACACGTATATATATCAGTATTAATTTGTCTTAAATAATCTAATGTTTCACTATTATATATTTCAAATGTTATTCGTAATGGTATTATTTGTAGAGTTTGACAATGACATTGGGTATCAGAAAAACTTAATAATAGATAAACACTATCAGGTGTATAAATAATTGATTGTAATTGACGTTGTTGATCATCATTATTCAATGGTAATTTATTTTTAGTCGTTTCTAAAATTGTCCATGAATTTGTATCAATTATATTTAAATAATTTTGTCTATTATCATTATTGATATTTGATAATGATATCAATTTTAACGACCAATTTTGAACATTGTTTGCACTATTACTTCCACTTAATGTTGGCGATGTATTAAAGTTATATACACCTAGATAACAATAAAAAAATATATCAATATATTTCACTTGACAATAAAGAGTCTACGCTAATTTTTACTAATAACTGTTTCCTCAAAAATTCATGAGTATTTTATTCAATTACCTAATGTTGAATTGCCGTAATAACCATAGATTGCCAATCGAGATGTCCAATAATTTGGATGATAGGAAAATTTTGTTATTGAATCGGTGTATAATACTCGTCTATATAATTTTCCATCTTTTTTAATTACATGATAAAAATCTAATACATAAATTGTTTGTTGTAAATTTGATTGTTCACCAAATTGTAATGGAATACGTATAATAACTTTTGTTCGATCATTTGACCATGCTGAATAAATTTTATGTGCATCTTGAAATCCATTATAATCACCTAATGAACATAAATAACAATTTTGTTTTAAATCAACAATAATAAATTTTGTTTTATCTAATACAATACTATAAATAAGTAACATAATTATATTATCATTTCCATTAATAATTGCACGAACAGAATAATTTTGTAGAGAACTAATCATGGCTGGAACATGATTATATTCAAAATGTTCGGCTAATTTTCTCGATTTTAATACATTATTATTATTATGAAAATGATTTAATTGACGTTGAAATGGTTTAAATAATAATTGTTTTGTTCTTATTTTATGACGATAATGACGACAAATTTTATTTGATATACCTTCAGAACAAAAACCAAGACCACAAATACTATGTAGTGCAGAATTACATAAAAAACGATGACGAATAAAACCAAATTGTTCTGAAAGGAAAAAAAAAGTATAGAATTGATTAAAGTAAAAATGACTTTTTTTTGTTGTTGTTGTTGTTGTTGTTATTATTATTATTATTGTAGAAGTAAGCAAACATCCCATTCGGGCAAGTACAAATGATTTATATATTTGATTAAAGTTCAATTATATAAAATTTTCATGTCTAAAAAACAAGGAATTGTTCAGTAAAAACTGAAGGCTAAACTTATACTAAGATTAGTCAATAACAATTCACATAAATCAGTATTTTATTTTATTTCTATTTTTCTATTTAAATAGATAAGAATGTGTTCATAATACATACATTCTTTTGTTAAGAAGTATATACTTCTCTTTTGTTTTTATTTCTATTATTACTCTCTCAGACATGCATGATTTATCAAATATTTCGTGTACAAAAATCATATGTTCATGGTAAAAAATTTATTTTTATATATAAAGATTTTATAATTCAAAAATCTATGTAATCATCATTTCTCTTTCATTTTATGTAAACATCATATGATTAATTTTATAGACCATTTATCTTTTCTTTCAAATAAATTTGGATATAAAAAGATCTACTTTGACAATCTTTCTCTATAACAATCAAAAACTCTACTAGAGAGAATAGACCTAAAACTCTGAATGAAAAACTAAAGAATACAAGTAATTCATCTTACCGTATATTCCTTGTAGCCATTCTACATGACTACAACGATAAATTTCTTGCCATCCATAATAATCACTTTTTTTAATTAATTTAAATAATAATCGATTTTTTATCAAAGATAGTGATGTTTGACTATCTAAATCATTGTTTATTTGAGAATCATCATCAAATTCATAGTCTTTTGAAGTATTTATACCCATAGTTTGTCTAAAATGAACAAAATAATAAAAATATCACGAATAATAGATACAAATTATGAAAAAAATAAAATAAAAAGAGATTATTAAGTGTTGATTGTTATATAAAAACAGACCTGTTCTGTCTTCGTTGAACACTATAATAAACATATAATAATGAATTAAAACACATTTTACGTTTGTTAAAAATACAATATTAATTGTTTAAAATACAAACTACTCTTATGTGTGTGTATGCTTATATTCAGCTTATCAAACAAAAAAAAAAAAAAAGAAGAATAATGTATATATATATATATATAAGAAAAAAAAAATATTAATTCATGATGGTGTATATATTTGTGAAGATAAAAAGAAAGTTATAGGGTTGAGTGATGGAAAAGAGAAAAGAAAAGAGGGAGAGAGAGAGAAAGAGAGAGAACAACAACTGATAACGACTAGAAGATGTTATTCCTGGTTGTGCCAATGATCGTAGCAGGTGCTCCGATTTTTTTATTATTGGAGTGTCGTTACTTTATTATTACACACGAGAGACGATATAGAATTACACAAAAATGGAATAAATAAGTGAAAGTGTAATTGTCAAGTGTAAAAAAAAAAAAAAGGAAAATTCTTTTTCACTTAAGTGAAGAGCTAAAATCTTATTATAAACATTATTTATTTAGAAGTGAAAGTAAAAACTTGATACTGGACAGAAAGTGTAGGTTTTACCATAATATATCTATCATGCGTATTATCTACGAGACAACTGTATAACTAACAAAAGAAACAATTTAGGAAAAGAAAAAAGATGCAAAACTGACAAGAAGAGAATAAAGAAGAACTACATTTAGATGGTACAAGAATATAAACTAAGATCTTATTTTAATGCCTGTTTATATGGTGAACGAACCATCATCACTGGACATACATATTATATTTTGAAGTACGACTGACTATTGATTGTATCGAGAAAAAAGAAGAATAGAATTCTAAACTATTTTAGCATTTATAATGTAAAAAAGAAAATAATCTAATATTTCACTAAAAAAAGAAAAAAAAACGATATTAAAAATAAGAATGACTATAGTGTGTCATATGCGAGACGGATGCAACAAAATTTCTTGCATCAGCTGTAGTAATATAACGATAAATCATCTATTTGCAAACATCCGTATTTATTTATTATGTTATAAATGGGTCATTATGGTATATATATATTATTAAGAATTGTTTTTATGTCATTATAGAAAGAAGTTTTTAAGATAGATTTATTAACTTCACCCACCTTATAAAGCTCTTTATTCCTTAAAATAAAAAATCCATTTCCGTCTAGAATATCAAAATTTTTTTTATTTATATCACTTCAATGAAAATAGTATTCAATTTTTATGAGCAATATTATGATGAAAAATGAACTAACTCTTGCTTTTTTCAAACGTTTAGAATATTATTCTAGTATTTCCCATGGGTAAAATATTTCTGGTTTTCTTTCTTTTACTATGATGTAAATATTAAAGTTTAATACGTGTATAAGAATCATTCATTCATAATAAACGTGTCAATTTGATGAAAAATGTTTTCTTTTTTTCTTGTCCAAAATCGTGTTATTATTGTTAGAAGATGTTTAGCTTAAGGACATCGCCTCGTTCTTTTGTTTTATTCAAAAAACAAAAATAATAAAATTGAGATGATCCATCTGTTCATTTCTTATTTTTTACATCTCTTATGTATTAAATTATCTAACTATCATGATGATGGAGGCGACTAGCAGCAAAATCTGGCTAATAAAGAAATAATAATTAATATTTTACATTTATTATCCAATTGAATGAAAGAAAAAGGAAATCGAAAAAGAAGACTTTACTCAAAAAATTATTCAACCATCAATAAGCTATATATACATATAAAATAAATAAACATATATGAAACAAACAGATCATTATTTTATTCTTATTGATAATTATCGAGTTTCAAATAATCTATGCTAAAATTCATTTATTCCAATAGATAGTATTTTAGAAAAATGCACGGTTGAAACTCTTTCTACATTAAAACATGGAATCCGTAGTGTCTAACAAACATATAAAAAAAGTAACAACGAATATCTCCTGTGTCGAGTTGACTAATTCTTTAAAATATAATCCATTCTCAACAAAGTCAACTTTTTCTATTAGGTTTATTCTTTTATTAACTTTATTTCATAGATGTGCTGAAATTTCTGTTCGTTCGATTTATTAATCACAACCAATTAGTAGTTTTTCGTGTTATTGAATTGATTTTTTTCCTGCTCTTATCGTTAAGGCACTCTATCTTCCAAGAATACTACTTACTATACGGATGAAAGAATAATCAAATATAACAATTTCTTTCGCTAAAAAAAAAATGCAAGTGTGATCCATTGACACAAGTTCGTTTCAGTCTCTCGTTTCTTCAATCTTTTTTTTTTTCTGTTTGACATTTGTTTGTGAACCGCACCCAAAATTAGAACGTTAAATTGAATACATATTTTTACACTTAAAAAATAGACCAGTAAATAACAAAAGAAGTATAAAAAAAAACGTTTAGAGCTTGTTAATAACAGATCTTTCAATATTACGACTATCACTCTGTCCACTCCCTTTCAAAAACGCTATTTTTGTAGCAAAGTAAAGTTCAAATTTATCATACTCTAAGAAACAGTATGACTTAGTGGCTAGGTTATTCTTTAGGTATTTCAAAAGTACTCTGTTACTGTCAAGTCGTATAGTTGTATAATTTTGAGACAGTTACTTATGTTATAGCGTCTCGGATCACCCATCTAACAGCGTACTTAATACGGTTTGCTGTACAATGCAGTTTCTCTTTTCGTCTTCGTCGTTTATTCGACGCTAGTACGTGATTAGTGAGTGTGTGTGGAAACTTCAAGTAATTAAGCGGAAGAAATCGGCGTTAGATTAGCCTTGTGGTCAGAGCTGCAGTTGATTGTAACTGCAGATGACAACTATCCATTTCAAAAAAGAAGGCCAGTCACTGTATGTCTAATAACTTTGCACTGGAAGATGCTGGCGACCTGCGGTTTTCGTTATCTGAAACTAAAATCTTGGGGCAACAAGAAAATAAGAGAAAAAGTTTTTTCGAGTACTTTCAGGTAGTGTACCTTGCATGGACATTTTGTAAGAGTTTTCCAGTCACTAAAATATTTTTGGATTTTGAATTTCTAGACGTTGAAAAGATCGCCCAACTCAAGTTCCACAAGTCTAGACTAGTCCCAGCTCGCTATCTCTCATGGTTCAGGAGTTATAAAGGTTTTCCACGTACATGCCTATCTTTGTCCGGACGCGGTGGAGAACCTGGAAAAGTGTTGAGACATAGATAATCGAGTGTGCTGATTATCGTGACAATGTTTTTTTTTGGTTAAAATGAAAGTCGAGGTCGGTAGGAGCTTATTTCCGCAAAACCGAGTTTTTGCTTATACACCATAGAACTTCAAATTGACGTGATTCAGTCATTTTACATTCAAACTTGCTCGAATTTTCAGAAAATACTCTAACCACGTTATTGAAACGGATTAACACCTTTAACGGAGTTACAAACTTCGAGTTTTGAGGCTTCGAGTTGTTGAGGTTCTCTAGGAGGCTTCCAGAAAATCCTGGGGTTCAAAGCTTTATTAATTAAACTTTCTTCGATTCAATCCGTTTCAATAACGTGGTTAGAGTATTTTCTGAAAATTCGAGCAAGTTTGAATGTAAAA